CAGCCAATGAAAGCCGTTGAAGAAAAATCGGAGATGTTCTTACCAAAGAATTAGTTTATGGCATTCTTGTCAGATATTTGCAAAACTGCGGACCGCAGGTGTCTGCGGTGGGGAACGAACGCGCTATTGTCCTTTCCAGGGAGTAATGCGTTCACTACCATTCCATACGGATCCTTCGTTTCGCTTGTCTCTCAGCTAGTTCTATCGATCTTTTGCCATTGGCAATTACCCATCAACGGGATTGATCTAGGGAGCCCAAATCGGCATTGAACCCAGTTAAGCTGAGGATATAGTTATAATCACAATCCTTAACCTTTTTTATTTACTGCCTATTCTTTTTAACGGCAGGCTATGACTGTTGAACTATGAACATAGCAAAAGAATCGCATATAATAGCAATAACATAGCAACAAAACAAACAAAAGCAAAAGAACGCAAACTAAACGAACAAAAGATCGGTAGAACTAGCTGAGAGACAGGTGAAATGAAGAACCTGCATGATGTGGTGGTAAACGCGTTACTCCCTGGAAAGGACGATATCGCGTTCGTTCCCCACCGCAGACGCCTACGGTCCGGAGTTTTGCAAATATCTCAGCATTATAGAACTTGTATTTCGCAACATAGCTTGCCGTTAAAAAATATAGGCAGTAAATAAAAAAGGTTTTTAAAAGATGCTTGTCAGAGTTTTTTTGTGGTTCAAGTTGCTAAAACATTATTCGAAGAGTTATTAAGGTACTATATAATGGTCTTAAGGCACAAGCAAGGTAAATGTCTTTTCCTCAATTTTCCAACAATTTCCACCGTCGATTTGTCTGAAATTGGAAATGCATAATGTGTGCGAATAATTTTAAATACCGTAGTAATCCACACAAGCAGCAAAGTTCATGCAGCCATTAGTGTAGCCATGATAACACTTCCGCCTACTGGCTGTAAAGATAACAGTTCACATTTGAGTTGGAGCGACAGTTATGTCAACAACACACATTCTTGGGGATCTTCACACTCCTTTTGTGATAGAAACAAGATTACTGCTGCAGAAGAGCAGCAACAACGGAGAATTTTCTCAACGTTCGCAAGGCTGGTTATCACAGAAATGATCATGCAGGGAGCAACATTTTCCAAATTTCGATGAAGAAAAAGAGATTTTTTAACTGCATGAAATAGTTCAGAACGAATTTAACAGGGCGTAATGTTCCAAATGAGTAGACGTTTATGTGCACTACGCTCGCGGCTATTTGCATCGATTTCAGTGCATCTTCTTTTCATTTAGTCTATTTTCGGAGTGCACTGAGTTTAATGCGAACCGTACGGGACACAAACCAAGCATTGTTTTCAAGAACAGCGAGCGTTTGTTGCGGCTTCCGCGTGGAACACTCCAAATGGCCTTTTGCATGTTTATTCTTTGTAGCCGATTAGATGATGAAATATTTTCATGCCCGTCATGTTACCATCAGTTACCGTTCATTTGCCGTTGAAACATTAGCATTCTAACAAAGAATCTTTCTTTCATAGAGCAGGAAAGTTCGCGGTAATGTTCGAATCATTGGCGAATCAAGCTATTATCCGAGTTCATTCATTCACATCTCCAGGAAAACATGACGAACATATATAGTGTGAAAACTGAAAGCCATATTCCCGTGACCCTCCCAACGGTTTACCGCCATCATCGTGGCTGGGCGGTGTTCCTGAGCGCGATGTACAAAGGGGTTCGTCCCCGTCCCTGGCAAGGTCTCGCAAACTGAGAAAGAGTTCGGCGTTTCCATCAGGAAGCCTAGCTAAGGGTAAACCAATACCAGGATCCACCACTGTCTTGGTATCAAAGTCGCATGGTGGTAAATCTTCCTCTGATCCACAAGGGCTGCGACTGCCTGTCGTGGTGACGAACTGGAACAGACTTTGGCCAGGCTGACCTCGGGATTCCAGGGAACCATAATGGCTCAACCATCAAATCTCCTAAAAATGGTGTTTACGCTGGGGCCCGCACAACCAGTAAGGACGGGCCATTGAAGTATCAAGTAATTAAGTATATTCCTGTGACAGTGAGGCATTATCTGTTTACGACAGTTGAGTGTGGACTAGTTGAATTGAACGGTTTCGCTTATGCCCGCCAACTCAGCTGAATAGTGGTCTTCAGACAAACCGTTGTGCGGGACTTTAACTTGTATTTACCGCACAGAACTTCAAACTTCGTTGTTTAAATCTCTATATGTACAGTGCATTGTTAAATCAATAACGATGTAATTAAATTAGTGAGTAAAGGCGATAGGAGCCAAATGCAAATGTAGCATTTGTTTGAGAACTTCAATGAATAGTTAACGTAAAGTGAGTGCTATAATAGAAAGGTAAGTGAGAAAGATCAGATAAGAGGAGGAAGGTCTTGTCGTTACCTGCTGCAATGCGCATTACTATTTTCAGCGAGTTCTTTCATGGTTTGCAACTGTTGACATGTCATGAGATTACAAGAGATTTTCCAGCCACCTGGTAGTGACTACTACGACACGTTTAGAGAAGTACGTTGGAAGGCAAGAATAAATTTTGCCAATAGCAGGTATATCGCTGGTATAAGAAAGTGCGGCATCACCTGCATATTCCGCAGTCCCGTTGATCGTCGAGTGACTCAAGTGGGCGCCAGTAAATCTTCCATTTTTCACTGTTGCTGTCGCGTGCAAGAGTAGCCCAATGGGTTTTGCTCGCTCTAGAGATTCGTTGAGCGTCATATAATTTTTCCAGGCTTTTCATTAAAAACTCTGACCATCGGCTCGATGGTCTTCCTGCAGTGTGTTTGGCATCCCGTGGAACCCAGTCACTAACGGTTGTCATTCATACGCATTACTCGTCCGGCCCACCTTATCTTCGGCTGTTTTGCATACAGAACGGCATTTTTGATTTTTGATCGTCGACGCAGCTCGGAGCTTCGGATCCCTTCCCTTCTTTGTGCTGAATATACTCCTAGCATCCCCCTTTCGACTGCGCGTTCGATAACGCTGAGTGACCTTTCATCCTGATTACGCAGCGACCAGGTTTCTGATGCATACGTTAATGCAAGAAATATCGTTGAGTCGAAAAGGTGGGCACGGAGTCGCGTGTTCTTTGTTCTCTTCACTACATCCTCAATACTCTTGAAAGCTCCCCAAGCCGCTCGTTTTCTTCTGCTCAGCACTGGAGCTAGGTCGTTCATCATTTTGATTTCCCAACCGAGATAGATATAACTGGAGTATTCAGAGATATACGCTCCGTTGAGCGTGAATGGAGCATGCGAAACCATTCCATTCTTCATCAACATCTTTTTGTAAGATCTAGCCGAAGACCAATCTTCCCACAGGCTTTATCAAAGTCGTCAAGTATACGTTCCGCTTGGCTAATGTTTGGTGTTACAAGGGCGATGTCATCAGCAAAGCGAAGATGGTGTAATTACCGACCATCGATTTTCTGTCCCATGTTGTCCCATCCGAATGTTCACGTGACGTTCTCGATGGAGGCGGCAAATAATTTTTGCGAGATGGTGACACCTTGCGTAACCTCTCTTTTGACATCACTGATAACACCCTTGTAGAATGGTGATATGTTTGTTGGTTGTGAAATTTTTGTACAGCTCACAAAGAATCTTTTATGTAGTGAGTAGGGACTCCTTGACTATCAAGAGCTTCCATGACTGCTTCTATCACAGTTGAGTCAAAGGCCTTCTTTGAATCGATGAAAGTAGACAGAGCGGTCTTTTGTACTTCCGCGATACTTCAATGAGTCTTGTTATGTGGATGTGGCCTTTCGTACTAAATCCTTTTCGAAACCCTGCTTGCTCACACGGCTATCCTTCGTCCAGTGTTCTGTCAATATTGTTTAGGATGATTTGAGCGGAGAGCTTGTAGACGACAGACAGCAAGCAGATTGGGCGATAGTTGGCGATATCGTTGAGTTCACCTTTCTTGAACAGCAAGACGGTCTTGTTAGTCTTCCACTGAGTAGAGACCTAGCATTCAATCAGGTAGCGTGTGAATAGCCGAGCCAATGCGTTTACAAGGACTGAAGGAAGGTTGTTCAGGTGTTCGGATCTTATCCTGCCTAGTCCTAATGCTGTTCGATTTTTCACTGTCGAAATAGCATGGTGGATTTTGGAATGGAGAACTAGTGATGCGACATATCCATCGTTCTTTATTAAATATGAGGGAAGGAGGACATGGCTATTGAAGAGAGTGGCTATTGAGTAGTAGTTCTGAATGATTTCCTCCATTACCCTGGTGAACGCTGTAACTCTTCTGTCTGAGCGTCGAAGTCCGGTCGCCTTGGTTTTTCCTTTAGAGAAGCATCGATGGGCTTTACAAGTGCTCTTTCCCGCCCTCTGCATCTTCTGCCATAACTGGGCTGTTCTCTCTCTAAGATCTTATTTTATCGTCTGTTTGCACTGTTTTGCAAGTTCGGACTACATATACATATTATATACATTGACCGTTTATATATATATAGTTCACTTTCTCTTGACAAGTGAGGACAAGTCACGAGAGTTGAGGTCGCATGTGATAATGACAGTGACGTAGATAGGCCAAAGAAATTATTTGAGTGTTAAGAACCAAGCACTTATCGTTTGCATCGTTAGGGAGACTAAAGAATATTGTTATATAACCGAATCTCTGTTATTCGGTGAAAAATATTTGTTGTGTTTTGTGAATTAGTTGCCTATGACAGTAGAGTATTTACCGACTAGTAAAGTTATCGCTATGTACCAATACCTACAGGCTCTGAAGAAGACGAAATTACTGAAATATCGACCATCGAAAATCAACATACCAACCTTGTGCACATGAAAGAGACAGTCCGTAAAATTGCATGTAATTTTATTCATTTTATTCTATATGATCCGTCATCACATCTACTGTGAGGTTTCCAGCACTTCTTCCTTTCGATTCGTTTTCCTCGTATTCGCCTTTCACAAAGGTCTTCGAGTTTTTCGTATTTGAGTTCAGCTGCTGCTTGAGGATTATCTTCTTCCTTATGAATGTCAATGAATGCTGATCGAGTTGATCATCCATGCAATCTTGGAGATAGCTGAACTAAGGCGTTCACTCGTGGATTGGTGAAAAGCGTTGTGAGAGGATCCAAATAGCCTCTTTGCTTCCCGATGAACTGCATCAATAACGCTTGCGCTATCTCTGGGCTACATATATTTATGCATACATACACATATTTATGTATGTATAAGACGAGCATATTGAACTAAAGTTGAATCTAATCCAAATAACATTTCAACTGCGTGTGAACGAGAAAGACCATACACGATATTATAGTGAAGCATTTAGTGAAAAAGAAAACTACAACGCAAAAGGCGGTGAAGAATTTGCCCTATACGTGTCATTAAAAACTGGTAAACTCTTATCTATTTGTAAAGAACGACATTAGGTATAAGCTCTATGGTAGATTTTATCCTAACTGGTTTCCTTAGCTGGTATACCAAATCGATGTGCTATTGTACTAGCGGGCAATATAAAACAATCATCGGTGAGAATTAGATTTGATCATACATGGACTAATACCACTGTAATTGTGGTTTGCTAGCAAAACTTTTAATAAAGACCAATGTTAACGATGTAGCACTTCATGTCAAATAATTGGTAGACATTAAAGAAGTAGGTATCTTTCGTTTAATCGTTTTCTTTATTGCGTTGTTGATTTCAGATAATACTACGCTTCATGGACCAAAGCGTATTTTTCACGGCAAGAAATGCTCGTTCGCTTTTTGGATAGTTATGATGATTACCTCAGTAGTGCTTTTGTTCATGCAGACCGCTACACTAATCTATATGTATGTCAGTCATCCTACAGTATCTCAGGTTAGCACATATCTCTTGGGAGATTACAGGAAACGGATTAAAAGCGAAAAATTACGTTCTGTTTTAAAATAGTAAAGGAACAAAGCGGTGTAGTACTATGTTCTAATTTTTCTGCGTTCTTCCACGTTCTTTTTTCTCCAGCCTTACTTCTTAACCATTATATTCAAATGAACCGTGCGTTCTTCACTTTTTCACCTCACTACGGCTAAAAGATGTTCGTATTTGATGAGCTGGGTTTTACAGGAAAATAGAGATTCGCCAAATCTAACAGCAGAACTGCTTGTTACAGACTTGAAGGCATTTGGAGACTTTTTTATCTATGAGTACGATAGAAAATGCTTGCATCTGTCAGAAAGTCGGAAACCTTTCCGTATTCGGTATTCGTGTAAATCATCAGAGGAGCCACAGTTTCATTAAGTTTCATTTATTTCCCCTATTTGACTCATTTTTAACAGGATCGACAGAACACAAGATGAGGAGCTGGAATACAGATAAGAAATATTTCAAAAAGAATTGATTTCGATGGATCACATCCACACATTAACGAATTTCATTTAAATATTGCGAGTGCAAAAGACCGATCTGCCCCACTTTTATCGATCTGGAAAAGGTCCCCGGGTGAAGCTGAGGCAGTCATGGAAGTTAGATCAGTTAGGAGATCCCTCACTAGTATGTAAAGATATTTTGAGAGCTATATAATAATTTATCAACCAAGATTTCAATACCCCATAATGACGTTAACCTCGATCTAAAGATAGGAGTTCTACGTCGACAACTGCACTATCTTTGATTTACTGATGACATCATTCCAGCAATATCAAAGATTAAGTAGATTGAATGTCAGAATGTGAATGCCAATCTGTTTCATTAGCGCTTTTTGGACAACTGGCATTTTATTGAGTAGCATTACAAAGGTGTTTATGAGAAGAAGTTCCGCTTCTGGTACAGAATTCATAAGACATTTCCTACGAATCGTCTCGCTATGCATTAGGTTGTTCAGAAATAAATGAGTGTTTTAAAATACTTATTGCTTTAATGTATTTTTACAAATAAAATATTCTTTGTACCTTTCAATATTGTATATCATTAGAAAGTTGCTCTTTCTGACCATGTTTTTATATTTTGCTGAAAGTTAGTTTTTTTCACCAATTTTGAGTTTGCAATTTTAGTTTTCAAAAACGGATTTTCGTCAAGTTTTCTTTTATGGGTTCAAATTCGGCCGTAGTGCAGCTGAGACGACGCGTGACATTAGTGAAGTTTGGGGTGGAAGTAGTGTGGATGAATCAACAGTGCGAACACGGTTCCGGGAATTCCGTTCTGGTAATTTCGACCTCGAAGATAAGGAAGGCCGCAGACGTCCCAAAGAACTTGACGACAACCAACTGAAGACACTAGTGGAAGCAAGTACGCGAACAATTGTTCGAGAGCTTGCAAACAGCTTAGCGTAGGCACGGGAACAATTTCCACCCACTTGAATCGCATAGGAAGGGTAAAAAAATTCGACAAGTGGGTGCTGCATGAATTAAACGATAGTCGAAAAGATCGCCGTTTTGAAGTGTCGTCTGCTCTTGTTCTGCGCAACAAGAGCGATAAGAAATGGATTCCGTACGACAACCGGCGACGTTCAGCTCAATGGTTGGATTGCGATCAGGCTCCACAGAACTTCCCAAAGCAGAAATTGCACCAAAAAAGGTCATTGTTACTGTTTGGTGGACTGCAGCCAGGTTGATTCATCACAGCTTTTTGAATCCAGGCGAAGCGATTGCGGTAGAGAAGTATTGCCAACAAAATGCACCGTACACTCCAACAACAACGACCAGCATTAATCAAGAGAAAAGAACCAATCCTCTACGACAGCGCCCGGCCTCACGTTGCGGGAGTTGGGTTACGAAACTTTGCCTCATCCGCCATTTTCATCAAACCTCTCGCCTACCGATCATCATTTCTTCAAGCACCTTGACAACTTCCTGCGCGAGAAATGCTTCACCAACTACGATGACTCCAAAAATACCTTCAACGAATTCATCTCTTCCAGAACTCTGCACAATTTTGTGCAACTGGAATGTTTCCTGTTGGAAAAAATGTATTGTTTCTAATGGTTTTTATTTTGATTAATAAGGTTTTGTTTGAAGCAAGTTATGAAATTTTAAACAATATAACTCCCACGACCGACTTTCTGTTAACTTCGGCATTGGTCGAACAATTCTTTATATTCTTGTTTAGCAAACACGAGGTGTTATTGTGTTATGGTAAATAACACCTCTTGCTTGCTAAACAGGAATATAAAGGATTTAAGCAATATGGTCAAAAACAATCATTTATTTCTTAACAACCTAATACATATGGGCGGAGAAACGATTAAAAAGAACGACTCACCTAGAACTATGCAGGAAAAACGAGCAGTTTTCCAGGAACATTGATGATATACGATGGAGAACGCCTTGTTTGGTGCCCATCTTTCCACTATTCCTGCTGGCTTACGTACGCTTTTTAAGGAAAATGATAGGTTAACATTATTGCGCCACTGGGAAAGTAATGCTAGTAATACCCGGTACCATTGAGCATAAGGGTGAATCTGAAATTTTGATCTATGTCGATAAATTATCTAGAGCGCTACTGTATTTGTATTAGAAATGTGTTGAGGTGTTCAAAATCATGTGTACTGTGCTCGTGATGCCTTTTTAATGGCAATAATTTGATAAGAGCGTTACTCTGCCCAAGGATCTCGGGCAGCGGCAATCTATTGGGTAACTGTGGTATGCTGCGGGCACAGATGAAGACTTTCCAAGCGCTCTGTCATTCTCCTTGGTCAGATCTGGTTCCACTTGATCTTTGCATGTGCTGTCAACTTTTGAGTCGCTGTGGCAACCTAGTTTTAGAACAACTTCTTCGTCAACTAAAATAAAAGATAAAACTCTCAGCGTCGATCAATCCCTGAGAGATGTACCATGCATTTGACTTCATTAAGTATCGTTTGGAGCTGATTGAATGCATATCTGACCTTTACAATGACTGACGGTGGCCTACCGATGTATTGAGTCAGTGTTGCAATCCTCTCAGACGACAAGTCTGGTAGCAATTTTCTGACCCCTGAGGGATGGAATACTTGGTGGGCCATGGGCGCGGGGATCGTTTCCAAGTGTGTTGCACGACGCCTCCGACCACTGCACCACACGCACCACTTTTCGTGAAGCAAGCTCTAATAATGTACTAGGAATTTGGATCAATATCAAAATACTGATAGTGAAATTTCTGTTGAGCTCAAAAAACCTTTGTCTTTAGCAGGAGTTCACTGGCAGGTTTCGCTAGCCGCTTCGCGCAGTGAAAGCTTTTTTTGGTCGAGATATTAGAGAAAGAACAAATTTTCTTATTGTGACAACTTAATAGGCTTCATTATGGTGCGCGCCTGTGTATGTGCGCGTGTAGGTATGTATGTTGTGTGTACATGTGCGTGTGCGTATGTGCACGTACTTGTGTATCTGCATGTGTGTACATGTGTATGTGTGTATGTACGTGCGTGTGTGGTGTTTGTTTGTTGACGTTGCATGAATCAACAGTTTTTCAAAGCTGCAGAGAGTGTACAGACGTTTGCGGATGGCAAGGGACTGCCATCATTGCTGTTGAAGAATATAAATTTTACACTCTTTGCTGAGCTCAACTTAATCAAATATGTCATCGTTTTGTTTTATTAGAAAATAAGAATATTCGAAGGATTTACGACGCTCGGAAGATTCATTTTGTTTTCCAAAGTTTTTGTAAGATGTTCCTAAATAGTCGCACTACTCACACTTATTTAGTTAGTTTGTTATGAACAGAAACTATTTCATAAACATTCGTTAATTCAGGTGTCGTTTATCATGAAAGAAGATGGCATCGACTTCCCAATGGTCACACTTTGTAACTACAATCCGATCAGGAAGACATATATCGAGCGTGAGTAGTTCCGATTTCGACCATGTGCTCTAGTGAAATGAGGTACGCTCCCGCTTTAGCCATGCTAGCCCTTCATGTCAGGGTTTGCTATTTGTCAGCATACTTGTCAGTGAAGAGCTACTGCACAGAATTTGGCTCATTTTTGTTTTCCAAATTGGAAATTCTGGCTCGTACGAAACTCGTTGTGTAAATGAAGAGAGATGATTATAGGCCCTCAAGCTGCATCCAAACTTGCACAGGAAACTAAACTCCTGTATAGATGACGTTGACCCACTATTTATGTGAGGCCAGACTCTCTAGGAAACTTTGTTCCACTCTAAGCATTACATAAAGGCCATGGTGGTCGGTCACTCGTACTGATTGTCCAGGAACAGAAGGTCTGTTTTCCACTAAAACTGAAGCAGCTGGAAAATTATTCGGATGCTGATATGAGAAATTGGCAGTTATACGGCGCTAGGTACGAACGGAATGTGGGATCGTTTTCTAACCGGGCGTCTCTAGCTTCTGATAAACAGCCCAAACAACGTGCGTTTGAGCGTTACTGTGAAAGAGGCAAAGGTTGTATCAGCCTCTTTTCTTCATTACAGCCGCCAACCGGTCACGGAACTGCATCAGTTTGCACCAGCAAACGGTGAAATTTAAAGATATATGATCTTTTACTGTCATAAACTTACAGTTTTAACTTTATGATAGTCAAAAGGTGTGGCGCATTTCACCCAAATATAGCAGTTCGTTGCTTTCTATGCAGAGCAGTACCAGCAACAAGTAACCTAACAATCCGACACCTGAGCAAATTGAATCATAGACGTCAACTCATCATATGAGCAACTACTCGACGACATATGAAAGAAAGCTGAGTGCATCTGTTGTAACGCGATTAGTCACCTTCGTATGATCATACAGCTTTCGATGGAGGAGTCCTTGACATTTGCAGTTATTAAGCCTTGTACCTGCATCAGCGAACCATGACCTTCGTGACATAGTGGATTCTGTGAGTGTTGCGTTCTTCTTACACCTGGTTGATCATGGGTGTTGACAACCCGCATGTTGTTTTCCGGCGGTTTTGTTTGTTTTCATTTAGTTTCACACAACGTATCCCAAAACCACTCCTGAAAGCTTTTTCATCATGGGACCCATTCTCGCCATATTCATGACGTTATTTCTTAAAGTAGTTGTGAAAGCTAAATCCTTAGTAAATGCCTTAGTGAGTTTTCAAACGTATCGAGAATATGGCCATAATTGGTGCTTTGAATGTAGAACAATGTAGATTGACGGAGTGATAATATACAGAATTGATTGCAATTGATGCTATTCAGCTTTTCGTTGTTCTGTATTTTTCAGATTACCAGTGGGGACTACAAAGAACATCATCAAATTCCTCCTAGTATAGTTACTATCATCTATGACAAGAGTCTGCTTGAAAAGTCATATTTACTTAAATTATGCTGAGATATTTGCAAAACTCCGGACCGCAGGTGTATGCGGTGGGGAACGAACGCGCTATTGTCCGATTTGGGCCCCGCAGATCAATCCCACTGACGGGTGATTGCTGATAGCAAAAAGATCGATGGAACTAGCTGAGAGACAGGCGAAACGAAGGACCCGCGTGGTGCGGTGGTGAACGCGCTACTCGCCGGAAAGGACAATAGGCGCGTTCGTTCCCCACCGCATACACCTGTGGTCCGGAGTTTTGCAAATATCTCAGCATCATTGAAGTTACATTTCACAATGTTTACTCTGCCGTTAAAAAGAGTAGGCAGTAAATAATAAGTTAAAATAGTCATATTTACGTTTGCTTTCTATTTTCTGCCTAGTACAATTTTTACGACAGGGTATTATGCGAAATACAACCACACCGATGCTGAGACATTTGCAAAACTCCGAACCGCAGGTGCCTGGGAAGAGAACACCTGTGATCCGGAGTTTTGCAAATATCTCAGCACCATTGTGATCATATTTATGTTAGAAAGGTGCTTTTAGAACAACAAAAAGCTTTCTACTGCATTTAATTTCGTTTATGTCCCTTTGTTTGCTTTCAATTTTCCACTTTTGTTGGTGTTGTTGGTCGCTGGCTGAGGTTTCGGCGATTTCGCCTTCCTCAGAGCCTGGACGTATTTTATACAAGAATACTTTAATTATTCGGTGGAAAATTGGCTAAAGTCTTAATGAAGATCGAACTTTTAAATAGACGTCATATTGATCAAAAAGGCTACTCACTGTGTTGTTACGAGTGGGACTGGCCTACGCGTTGTTCACGTGTGGTCGCGAGCAAGACACTCCCAGGAGTTAAAAAATCATTTTGAAATGAGGCGCCAGGTCATCTGTAATAGTGAGGCATTCGTCTTCCCGGTATTTTTGCATTTTTGATATTTATCCAAAATGCCTCAAGAATCCTGCACTTTGATGTTTTCTATTCCTGCGCTAGGGTCCGGACAGTCACTTCAAAATCATCGCCATTGTGCTTTTGTGCCTTATGTGTACTTGGAGGAGTGCTTTGACGACGTTACCCATCTAGATGTTCTTTTATGCGGAAACAAAGTGGTCTGCCCGTTTCCCCAATACATTCCTCACCGCATGCGTTACAAGAGATTGAGTATATAATACCTGAGCTCATGCAATCGCCGTCTCTCCCGTTAGGACAGATTATACAGTTTTCTGAGCTGCACAAACGATCATAGAGGCGGTTGCGAACTGGCGGCGTAGGATTCATATTTTACAGTTATCCAGAACAGTTACAGCTTAAACGACATCTCAATTGAATTACAATAGTTTTACAGGGCTTAATGTGACTGGTGACTTTTCTGATGACCTTCTTGACTATCTTTTGGACTTCCTTATAGATGCAAGCACTTTGTATGGTGCAGCAGACAGAGAAATTCTTCATATAGGTGCGTAATTTTATTCGTTTGTCTAATTACTTCTTTTTCAATGGTTTTTTTCTTTAAATATTGTTTCATTTCCTGGGATATTTCTTTGATCAGTTAGAGATTGTGATATGGAAAGTTTATAGTCACATGTAGCGCTCGATTTGATGTCTCATAATGTGATCCTTTTGTTAAAGGTGACAAAGCTCTTGAAATCTACCAGAAGGCACATCCAAACTTTACTGTTCATGACTTCTTCATGAAGGCTGGGTGAGTTTCTACATTTGAAGTAGTTTTCTTATTAGGCAATCACTTGGGATTCTCTAGTTTTCTACATCCTTCAGTATGGGTTTCATGCCGATGTCTCATTTCATTATCTGAATTCTCATTAGCATTACACTACTAATCACTCATTAATGTGTCATTAAGCCTTGATTGTGAAGACATTATGATGATGTGTTCATTTGGAGGACGTCGGTTCGATTGTTGCCGTTATGCGCATGCGATATTGACAAATCTTGGAAAGTGCTATACGTCAGTAATTTGATCGCTTTTTGGACTTTTCTTATGAAAAAGACAACACAGGCTAGATCATAAGGAAACAATCCATTATAGACTTCCTGGTAGCACTCGAGTTTCTATGTCTCAACCTATGGATTTGCTCTTTTATGCTATCATTCTTATTATTATGACGATACCCTACTTCGAGGCCTCTACTTGCTTATAATTTTTTTATTTTACATGACTCACCATCACATCTACTGTGCAGATCTTAGCACTTGTTTCATCCAATTCTTTTTCTCTTTTTCTTCGCACTCATCGTCCGCAAAGGTCTTCGAACACTTCGCATGTTCTTTCGGCAGCTGCTTGAGAATTTCGTCTTCCTTATGAACTTCATGGAATGCTGGTTGAGTCAGCTCCCTTTCTAACCTTGGATATAACCAAGCTAAAGTGGTTTCTACGTAGATTGAAGGATTTCAATGGGAGAGTGTCGAACCAGCACCGTGCTTACTGATGAACTGCACCGCTAATTATTTTCATACCCTCTCCCCTATTTATATGCTTAGGTTATCCATTTTTATGTAAATTGTGTGAGATCGACGGCACTTCTTCCATCCTTTTTGTTATCTTATTACCGCGATCTAATCTGTAGTAGTCGAGTTTGTGTAAAGGTTCATCTGCGGTTTGAGGATATGGAACTTGATTCTTGCTGTGAATATAGCTGGTTTACAGAGTTTTCTCGGCAACTGGAATGCTGGGGAATCTGAAGACTTAACAGACTTGTAGATGGGACTTTAGTTATCGCTCTAAAGATATCTGTTGACGACGCATTCCGAAGCAGCATCAATTCCTGGAGTAAATCTATCTTGTTCAGCCATTTCAGTGCCTAATATAATCGCCTTTTCAAAAAGGCGGAAAATAAATTGGTTCGACATACTTCAGAAAATCAGTATTTCATTGTCATGGAAGAAGAAAACTTGAAGTTGCTCACGAAGTTTTATCGATCCTACTGATTTGTATTTTAATTAGTGAAGTCTATTACGAGTCAGCGTCTACTTATTTGTTTGATGTGAAGGGCGAAATTGTTCTCAACACCGTATTTGTTGAAATCAATTCATGTCGTTGCAAATCTGTCAAAGACCCTTATGAAAACATCTTTACCATGTCAGCCTGCACCATGTTGTTCGTTCACTATTAATTCAGTTTCTTACGATTCTTCTAAATGTTATCATGAACATACTTCGTGTGTGACGGATTCGGCCTACCTGAGAACCGACATTATTGTTTGCGCAGCGACACTATTGATTTTTAACTGTCCACATAGGTCAGTCCCACTAGGGTAGTAGTGAAAAATGTTCACTATCTGTTTACGTGGTGTCGAAATTTGTTAACAGTTGGTCGGCTGTTTGGATCCTTAGGGTAAGGGATTAAGCTCTCGATGTTGTTTAATCCCTAAAGAATGTGTCGTTCATTCGACTTCATTAAGCATCGTTTGGAGGTGATTGAATGCATATTTGGCCTTTACAATGACTCGCGGCGTCCTACCGATATATCGAGCCAATGCTGCTATCCTCTCAGACAAGTTTGGTATCAGCTTGCCGACTTCGGAGGGATGGAGAGCTCGGCAAGCCTGGTGCGTGAGCTCGAACCTGCGCGTATCGTAGGACATCTCTAACCACTGCGCTCTAACCTCCCCGTTAGGATAGCTGAATAAAAACCTTCGCTAATTACTGACTCCAGATAGTCGTAACTATTGCATCTCGGCGTATTCTGTACGACTTAAAGTCTGTCAACGGACTTACGGGAAAAGTAATGATGGTTTAGACAAAGGTTATATCCTCTTGACATTGGAAGGAGTTCAAAACCCTCAAAGTCTTCAGAAGAACACAAGCTTCAGCAGTGCATATCAGAACAACGTTTTGCCACGTTCAGGTGGCAGTCGTAACGTGTATTACTTACTTGGTTATTTGAATGGCCCGTCCTCACTGATTGTGCTGGCCCCAGCATAATTTCGTTTTCGGAGTTTTGCTGTTCTAACATTGTGGTTCCCTGGAGTCCCGAGGTCAACCTGACAAAAGTCTGTCTGAGGTCTTCACCACCACAGGAATTTGTGGATTAGAGGGAGATTTGCCACCATGCTCTCATTTTCATACCAAGGTGGTGTTGAATCCTGATACCGGTTTGCTCTTAGGTGGGCTAATGCAAACGCTAAACTCCTTCCCAGTTTCTAGGACCTTGCCTGGGGGACGAATCCCTGTTAAAGACTGAAAATCGCTGTACATCGCAGCACCCAGGAACATCCAGCCACCGTTAGGAGGGAAGCGTATTACTAAAAATAATTATAATTATTATAACTATGAACAGCCAGTCAGTAATGCAAATCAGATGTTATAAACCCTCAATGTCCAGACATTCTGCGAATATTTATATTCTACACTCTTTATTTAATACCTCCGTGAAAACATCGGTGATGAAGTAATAGACAGTGGTTCGAAATGTTATACACTCTCTTCTAGGTTGAATATTAAAAGTTCTGAAAAAGAGTGGATGAAGAGGCAGATGGAGACCGGAGTGGCCGCTGGGTAAGTAGATGTTTTATCAGTGTGATTAGTTTAGAACTAGAAAATCTCAAGTGAAATTCTGGTTTAACTCCACTCTCATTTAAGCTATGGATGTCACTTTTTGTCAGCACAATACGCAATATATTTGTTTTTAAAGCCTTGCAGGTTACAAATCGTTCTTGACTCGCATCTCGAAGAACAGTTTGATGGCACTGATAGTGAGTTTTAACTAACTAGAACTGTGGTCCTATATTTCGGAAATTTTTGGTATTCTATTGGGATGAGGGCTATACAACATTGTGATATATGGTCAATTTTCGCAGGAGATAGAGTGGCCACAAATTTATTTGTGAAGGACGGTATATGTTCTTCTCTATCAACTATATGCCGTAGGCGAATGTTAGCCATTAGAACCCATTGCTCCCAGAAAGTGGGACATCAATGCAACACTGCTAGTTTTTCTCTCATCCTACGAAAAAATTTGTTATTATTAGTTGTAGTTGTAATCGTTGACATAGGCGGGAGTGCTCTATAGTGTAGTCGTCCTTGGCTTGAGTTCCGTGACTAAACACGTTTGTTCAGATGGTGCGGATCCAGAATTTATTAACGTTTTTGAAAACGGATATCGATACTATGTGCATGACCCCAGCACGATACCCTATCTGGCATCGGAAGGTGTAAGCGTGTCGCCAACAATGCGTGTATATTCGGCGATTTCGACAAATAGTGTGGGAACTTTTTATTCTTTCTCCTTCTTTGGTTGCACATATTTATTAAACTAAAGTGCATGTGTTTGCCAAACTAGGTCGTAACAGAGTAGTGTGCGATGATCTCACTAAGAACGAGGTGTGAATGAAGACAACTTAATTGTTTTGTCTGAAGTAACAAAAAGAACGAACTCATACTTGTATAAAAACGTCAGTTCGTTAGTTGCTATTGAGGTGTAGCAACTACAAGCTTTTTTCTATGTATTTTAATTAGATTCATTGTCGTTCGTATGTTCTAGTCTCCTCGCAGGTCAACGAAAAGCATTATCTCATGACACCCTATCACACCATTATCCCATAAGATCCCATAATCAAATGATAACAGATGCATCCTGAAAAAACGAAATATGTTTGTATCGGCTATCCGTTCCGATCTCTTCAAGGTATCTGGAACGCCTATGATTTCGTTAATCGTCGTGCAATCTGAAGTGCAAGTGATAAACTCCATTTGTCACCATGTTGCACGACCGGATCTCAGTGGGCTTCTACCTAGAGTGTCACACTTTTATACGGCGCAATTTTGAGAATCACACTTTTATGTGGTGGGGTTTCTTCACTGTTTTCGGTAGAAAGTTGCCCTCTGGAGGCTTTACCCTGACCTACGTTTAGTTGGGCTTTCGAATGGAAATGTCAAGATCACTTAACTGGCCCTGCTTGTATAACCGCTTTGCTGTATGTCATATTTGAAACCCAAAGGCATTCTCTAATCACGACGATGAGGTATGCTACTGAGGTAAATGATTCGAAGCACGTAGACCATATTTAAGCTTAATTCATCAACTTGCTACCAAACACTAAGAAATTTAGAAATACGCAGACATATTTGAATGGAATAATGTGATAAACGTTAACCCTTTTTCAGTACGTATTATTGCCGTCGGAACGTTGGGGTAACTGCACATCAAGTTGGCCACCAGAATTTCAGAGCGCTCTACCCTACTCAGCGGTCAATTGCGACTCGATTTGTAAAGCAAACTTCTTCTTTTCAAAGTGTGGATGCAGTCCTTTCACTTATGACATAGAAAGCGGTTAGTGCTTATTTATGACATTATGCGTATTATTACTTAAATCTTGGGCCAGTCTATCGTGGTTTTGATGCAACAGTTGATTTGCGCAATTTGGCCTTAGAGAGTATAGGTCCTACTAATATTGTCTTTAATGTATTTTAGATTTGGAGAGGATTGTCATGCAAATAATTCTAACAGGCACGAAAAATATAGAAACGTTCTATGAGAATACGAAATAACAGGCACGAAAAATATAGAAACGTTCTATGAGAATACGAAAAGATCAATATCTAAAACGTCAGATCAAGGTGGAGTTCGAGGTTGTATCTCCCAGATACTGAATCTCGTGCTCTAACACTGAACTAACTAGGGAAACGGGGTCACTTAAAACGCTTTGGACGATGTTTTACACATTGCAGCAGTTCATTTTAATGTCTAAACTCTAAGGCAATATCATTTGCAACATCCAGAATGGTTTTTATATGAATGCTCTCTGGAAATGTTTGAATTTTGAAGGGAACTGAAGTTATACTTCCAGATTTTCCGATGTGTTCTCCGTTTCAAACGGTTCGATGTATTGATGACTATATAAGGAAACCAGCTGAAGGTAACCACTTAATCTCTATAAGCTCACCGGGTAACACCTAATTATTGTGTATTGAACAGGATTAACAAAAGCAGTTATTCAGTAATGTCATGTGGAAGTTTTCGAGTAAAGGGGTACCAACATGAAGAAGTTGGTTTATAGGGTTCGAAATGTTTAACACGTATAATACCTAGTTGGATACTTGAACGGTCCGTCGTCACTGGTTGTACAGACCACACCCTATTCTCCAGTTTTCGGAGTATTGCTGGTTTAGCCATTGTGTTTCCCTGGAGTCCTAAGGTCAGCCTGACCAAGGCCAGCCTCAGGTCGTCACCACCACAAGCGGTCGCCGCCCTTGTGGAACAGAGGGAGATTTGCCACCATGCGACTAGTTTGATACCAGGACGGTGATGGATCCTGATATTGGTTTACTCTTAGCTGGATTTCCTGACCGAAACGCCAGACTCCTTCTCACCATCCGAGACCCTGCCGGGAAGATGAATCCCTCAGCTGTAGATCGCAGCCCGACACCCAGGTAACTAGCTAGCCACGATGAGGCGGTAGACCACTGGTAGTAATATCTATAATACTTTTTCCAATTAAAAAGACCAGTATATTATTTCTTTTTCACTCTAAGTAGCTGTTGGCTTGTCCGATAATTAATAAAGCTGGTTTGGTACGGTTTTTTTAAATGTATTCATCGCTAAGATATGTTTTGTCCGTATACTGAAAACTGGCCAAATGCAAACCGTTAATTGTCCATAGAATTTTTGAACTCGAGTAGATAAGGGGTCCTGTCTTGGACCGCTATAGTGGAATGCTGCGAGTTGAATGCGGAAAGTAGTAATTACAATATTTAGGTGCTGAATCTTTTGAAATTCCAAAATGTAAGTCATGTCAAGTGGAATGCGAAAGTGTGATATATCATACTTACAATTCCTACGGGTACGGTTTCAGCAATGGAGCGCTGTCATGGCTCAGTAAGAAAAATAGCTCTTGGACCAAAGCCCATATGAAGTAGGTACATCTACCGTATGTTTTCCTGTCACTTTTTTGCTTTATCGCCACGCCATTGTATTTTGGCTGATTTAAAGGGTTAAACTTTTCTTCCTTTTATCGTTTTTTCTTCTTTTCTAGTTATTCCTTGATTGTGAGGCTACGTGAGGAGTTTGAAGCTTGTGTTCATGTGAACATTAGAGTTAATAAAATGTCGAGTAGATCGTCACCAAATGGCACGGTAGCTCCTTGATTGAGACGCGAATAGTATAATACTAAGTATAATTACTTTAGTATAGTATAATACTAAGTCTGACTGACAGGTCATCTAGTTCCACCTACTTCAGAACAAATTTTCTGGCCATCAATGTATTCTTTCGCGACATGTCGTATACAGAATATATGCAGCTTCAAGGTACAACTCTTACTGAAACTCTCAGTGAGTTCTACGTAACTTCTTGGATATTCTGTCATCATGGTCACAATGACCATTCAGTTGCTGGTAATTTGGCATCGTGTGTTTTTCTGTATTATTTCGAGATTGAATGACAGCTGACAATAGAAGTATGTTCACGGTGTACTTAAGCTGCCATGGTTTTAGTTCTACGAGGCTTCCATCGTACAGTATCAAAAACTTCTTGCTTAATGATCTTTGTCGAAAATATAGCAGTAAATCAACAAGTGGAAACTTCTTTCTAATGATAGATTCATGCTCTGTTGATATTTTTCAGGCGATATCGGTGGAAATATGGGGATGTTCCTAGGTATGAGTATGATAACCTTAGTAGAAGTGATTATGTTTTTTGTCAAAATCGTATGGATTACTATCTCGAAGAAGAGGCGTGATTACATGTACCGAAAGAAGATGCTAGAGAAGGTGAATATTTATATAATATTGAATCTTTTCAATGCTAGGTTTTTATTTGCTCCCTATTACAATTTTCACGGCAGGGTATAATGCGAAGCACAACCATAGTATTGCTGAGATATTTGCAAAATTCCGGACCGCAGGTGTCTATGGTGGGAAACGAACGCGATATTACCCTTTCCGGGATCTAACGCGTTCACCACCACACCATGCGGGTCCCTCTTTTCGCCTGTTTCTCAGCTAGTGATCGATGAGTGATTTGTGCTCCCCAGATCATTCCTGCTGACTGGTGATTGCTGATGACACTGGTCGACAGAACTAGCTGAGAGACAGGCGAAACGAAGGGCCCGCATGGTGTGATGGTGAACGCGTTAGCCCTCAGAAAGGGTAGTATCGGGTTCGTTCCTCACCGCAGACACATGCGATCCGGTGTTTTGCAAATATCTCAGAATAATTGTGGTTGAATCTTTTCCCCTAACGAATGCTTTGGATATTTCGTGTGAAATCTTTATGCTTTAATTTTGTGTATATGCATGCCATTATTCTTCTCACTACGGAATAATAGGGTTTTGGTGAAGGTGGAAGAATTGATTATAGGGTTTAAATTCCGTTAGTGTCAAAATCAATATTGTTGCGTGGTTGTCGGTGTGCTATATTCTGAAGAAAAGGGTAAACATTACTTTGATATAGAGGAATCATTTATTCTGTTGAGAATAACTTCATATTGTATTGATATATCCTAACAGGAACATGAAAAGCGATTAGAAGAGACAATGAACAATCTAAGGACATTACAAAACAAGAAGGACAGCGCTGCGACAAACGAAACACCGGGTCCAGGTGCCCGCCTCCGAACGTTCATCCGTAAAAAATTAACACCGTCAGATGACGGCCGCGTTTCACCGAGTACTGTGGTGAGAGCGTTTCGATTTCAGTTGTACACGTTTTGTTTCGGTGCATTCAAAAGTTCGTAATACGGTGAAATTTAAAACAAAAAAGCTCTTACTTGCGGAACTAATTGGCTGCATGTTATCATACACTTAGTATTTTGAATTTTATGCGTAAAGCGTTGGTCAGAATTTTTATACTTCATAGGAGAGGAAATCAACATCCGCATCGGATCGAGAAAGTGAAATGGCTGAGCGCCGATCACGATTTCTGAGCACCAATACAGCAGTTCGTTTATTTTATGTAAATTGTGCCCAGTGGGATAGCATTGTAGAGTTGGGTTTACACAACTTTCACGACAGAGTAAACAGAAAGCAAATTAGCACATCCTTCGTTAGTGTTTTTACCGTCCAGTTTCTTTCCTTTGTAGGAAAAACTATAGGTATACTCTTAACCCTTTAAAAGTTACCATTTTTAACCATAGGTGATGGAAACTATGTCAGGCTCATGTGATTTAATTTCATTTTTCAGTCGTCGTATTACAGCAACGATCCAATGCAGGACGACACCATCGTAAGATCTTTCGATTTTTACTATTGTATAATCGCAAATATATTTGATTTTTAATATCATAGGACCACGACTTTTTTACATATAAAAAGTCCTATGCGGGTTGGCCACAAGGCTACACCTCAGGTGAAATATAGGACGTTAAATGAAGACCATAAATGACCAAGTAGTGCTATCTAGTGTTCTGGATTGTAGGTGTATTCAGAATTTAGTTTCCCTAGATCCGCATTAGTTTTAGGAGAGTACCCAAGATTATGCCCAACTTCCTACAGTAGACTGTGGCGGACTCTCGTGATGTCATTCTTGCTAAGAAAAATACAAATTAAGGAGTGCAAAAGGTGCGATGTTCTTCCTACTTTCCGGCCGATCGGAGCGCATTTGTTTGCAACAGGAGTAAAGCGGACTATTGCGCCTAATAGACCCGATGATTAGCGTGGTTATAGGTGAAAACGTTTGACGACGGGAATAGGCGTTGTTGTAACTCATCTTCATTATGTCGAATTTGGTTCTGTTCACATTGCAGGTGCTTTCAAGTCCAGAAGTACTGAACATGAAGGAGGAATTTGAAATTCGATGCAATTAGTACATCTCAAAACCCTCATTGAAATATTTCCATGGAGCTTCTTCCTATGTACACTTTCCACTCACTTACGGTAGTCGTCAAAACGTCTGTCCAAACATTAAAGAAACGAAGGATGTAAACGTTCGCCTAGTACGGTTAATACCGAACTTGTGGCTTGACCATTATTGGCCAACCAAGTGTTTTTAATTTGAGGCCATTTTATCTTGAAATTTTACTTATTTGCTCGCTTGAAGCAGAAGAACGCTGCGACTTGAGTAAAGACGAAACATGTGAAGCCCTAAATTTGAGATAAAGTAGTGATTTTGCAGTACTACGTGTAAGTTTCTGAGTCGTTTTATTAATCCTTACGCCAAGAAGCAGGGCTTTTTTTTTAAATAACAGGCGATAATTTCTGCAAGTGTAGTAGGAAAATTTAAAATAGACGAAGTTTTTAAAATTTCCTGCTCAAGCTCGGCTTTTGCAATTACGAACGAGGCACTGCGGAGCACTATTGTGTCAAGCTGGAATAAACCCCACTCGTCCACTTACTTTTGCCTTCGAAATTATGACCGTTGAAGCAATTAGGTGGAAGAAATATCATCGGCTGTCAGAAGTCCCAATTTCGTCGCGATAGAACAAGAGAGCTCTCATTATGTAGGCAAAAAGTTACAGTTTCTAATGGCTTTTGCTGAATCGATAAATTTCACTGTGAGCTGAAATATGTCGAGTTGAAATTGAAGCAGCTATTATTTTCGCATGATCACGTCGTCGCATAAGTGTTAATCAGCGCTGGGAATAATGAAATCATATGAAATCTTTAGCGCTCTCTAGTAGTTATGTGAACTAACTGAATAGACCTGAGCAACCCGAATAAGCGGAACTGGTTCATAACTCCATGAATATCACACGTGCGTTTTCAATGCCCAACAGAGTGGGACTTTTTGGAATCAACTTGAACATAAAAGTTCTTCCTGTAAAACATCGATTATGCTGTGGCACTTCAAGCGCGTAATCGGTCGTCGCGACGGAGCGACAATAGATTGTGGTGTCGTGTAGCTTCGACAACACTTCTCTGGCGTTATGACGGTTCACGTAATGCTGTTTTCCTACCACACGGTTCATGGTTTATTTCGTCAATCTTTTTGATCCTTTTTTTTTGATCCAAAGAAAGGATAACATTAAGAAAACAAATCATTATCTTGCCACGTTCTACCAAACCAAATAATCGTATTCATGTTCGCACCAAATGGGCAAGAGTTAGCCTTTAACGTAAACAATATATAGGACCACTAAAACTTAATGTTGAGTACTGCCTAACTTTTATTTAAAACCTGTTCTCTTTTCATGACATGGTTTTGTGTGAAGTACAACCACAATGATGCTGAAATATGAGCCCAACTCAGGACCCCAGGTACACTTCGAACCTGCATTACCCCTTTCGGAAAGCTCACGTGTTATGCGCTGCACCGACCGCTGCTCTTGTTTTGCTTTTTTCTCAGCCAGTTTTTTTTACCCTTACGGTGCTATCACCATTCACTCGTCAACGGGAATGTCCTGGAGAGTACAAATCGATATTGAACCAAGTTAAGGTGAAGCTGCTGTCGAAATCGCAGTGTTTAACTATTAGTGACAACCTAATAATTTTTCATGGCAGGGTATTATTTGAAATAGAACCACAATAATGCTGAGATATGTCCAAAACTCGGAACCTCAGGTGCTCTTCGAACCCGCGATTAACCTTTCCGGGAACTGACGTCACCTCAGCATCCTTTTGGTTATACTTCACCTAAAAATCTAATTCTCGGTGGTTGAATTAGGGGCTATGCAGAAATCGTTATTTAGTATGAAATGTGTAGTTTTGCAATATGGAATTTCCCAGCGCTTTTCTATAAATAGGATCGTTCGATTATGAATATTTTACTTTACGTTTTGGAGCTCAAATGTCAGCTGAGTGGAGTCTATTCTGCTGTAGGACGATAAGCAAGTTGTCTTAAAAGTCGTGATCCCAAAGCTCATGAGGAACTCCGTTTACGAAATTCCATCCTTGTCAAACTAGAATCCGAAATTCGATGCATCGGTATCATAGAGGTTCTTACTTCGATTAGTATAATTTAATTTGAAAAGGGATTTACAGCGTTGTAAACTTTCCGTTCAAAACCGGTCATTTCATAGTGAAAAGCGAAGCCTCTAGTAAAAAACACCAAGCGATAGGCTCATAAGCAGTTATGAAAGCATGTAATTTCATGATAATTTAATTACATTCTATGGAATGTCATTATTGTTCTTTTGGTAGTTAAGGTGGAACTGAAGATCAATTTGAACGATTTGGAACCAACAAATATTCCTGTGGAATTGGACGCTACTTACTATGCGAAACCACGAGCAAACACTGAACCAACCTGACACTGGTGTGAACAATGGGTCTTAGCCGATTCAACAGAGTGCGTCTACACAGTAGACAAAAAGGATCCTTATGGTATTCTCTCTGTGTGTTTAATTTTTACTCTACATATAGAAAGAAATAAACGTTTATACAATTCTGCTTCCAAGTTATTGCTTTAATGAAGCTGTTATTAATTTGCGTCGTGAGGATTCTTGTGGTTTTTCATTAACACCGATGCCATTCAAGCATGAGCGTTAAGAATTCAGGCCAAACATGGCCAAATCACTTCTGGATTTCATATTCTTGGTAATGGGGATAAATTTGTTGCTTCTTTTAGGAGATTTCGGATGTCTTAACAATATATCATTTACTATGTACATCACGAAATATAGGCCAATACGCATTGTTGTTGTTTTGCTCGCGTTGTCATGGCTTTAAAAGTACTAGTCCACACAAGCAGATCTGATTTCCGAATGGACTTAAACTCCAGATAATTTCATGCACTGTTATAACAAGCCTGTTAGTGTGCTTCAATGTTCCTGCAAAAATCCCATCGAATGAAATTCAACGAGGAACAAGACAAATGATGGAGCTTATTATGCTGAGCAAATAGGGTTACAATGGTTTTTCTCGAGAACGGCGCTAGAGGTGCAAAAATAACATTTATCGAAAAACATGCATGCATAGTTGTCCACTGTATTCATCATAATGGTCTTTTGATGAGAACAGAATGGGGAGGGACAAATCCACTCTCTGTTCTCTTCGCATTTACACCATCGAATCGGTGTTTTGGATAGGAAGTGTTAAACATTTCTTAGCTGAATGTTTCACAGCCGTAACTTATGTTTACCCCAAACAAGGCAAGAACGACTACCTAGGTGCCAGGCCGTTCAGCCAAGATCTTGTAGAGACACTATGGACTACTATCAATACAGGTTCACTACTATTTTCCGTATTTGAAAGAAGAAATGGCAGTTCGGCTCTCGTTGCTTTTCGTCAAATATATTATTAGACAATATTCAGAGAAATATTAACGGCATCATCATTCTTCAGTCTCAACATCGAAGTTCGGAATAACTTCAATATCAAAGGAGAAGAAGGTGTTAGTTGAACAAAGCGAATAAACTCATTTTAGTGAATATGAGTCATTTCTTACAACAGAATGTTAAGATTGAGTCAATCGTTTCAAGAAACCAGCATCATTTACGTTGTTAACTAAAGGGATTACTGTACGCGTTTATGTTTGCTGGAGATTAAAAGGATAAAGAATATAGCATTTCAAGTTGACCAATCAGTAAAATGAGAATGCGCAGTGCATTGGATTCCCTTTGCTGCATCGTGTAGGCGGCCTACTGGATATCCGGCGTATACGACCTTCGATGACGCATCTATGTATCACGTCAGTGCTTTTATCCATTCAGGCTGATCTAGTAGCAATTTGCTTATCCCGAATGAGAGAAGGCTTTACATAGAGCGTGGGATCGAGCTCATGGCCATGTATACATTAGAATCTCGTCCGATTTGTCGTTAGCAAGCGCTGCTTACTGACTGTGACGTGTTGCTTTACTTTCATCCGTTTCTTTTCATTAGATGTCCTCCAACTCACTGGAGGACAATCGGTGCCACCTGTGATTGATAATGCTGGGACCGGAGCACCTTTGCCTCAAAATTGCTGAAACATGCCATAATTTATCATAAGCAGTTCTTTCGGACACATTTTGTCCACACTTTCAGAAAAGAATGGATAGATGAACTTAAGACCACAGCTTGAATGCTGGTAACATCTTGCGATTTTTCACATTGTTTGTGAATTGCAGAAAAAATGTGTTTCTTTATTTAGTATTGCAGATGCGCAGCTAATCACACAGTAACAAGGAACTTATGATTTTTTTCAATCAAACGGAGCATATATCGACTGACACATAGCGAGATGTCATATAAGATGAAAACCTACAGAAATCTGTAGCGAGCCGATGGTATGTGGTACGGATCAACGACGATACGGGAGATGGAGCGAGGAATAGAGAGAGATGTTCGTGATTACGACGTTGTTCGACAGTGAAAAGACAAATGGGAGATTGATATTACAAGCAAAATCACAAATATATATGCCACACAGTATGATCAAAAGCGGTAACGGCGTTGGTGACTGACAGTCGTGTACGACAGCGATGTTCAGTGCCAAGCTATTCATTCAGTATCGTCGTATCCATCAAATTCGTAGTCCCCTCGTTTGCCGAATCGCATCCATTTCGCCTCCGGTGACCTTTTACCAAACCTGCAAAAACGTATGGCATTCTATATACTATTTCGAATTTTTTTTTTTGCATTTATATTTAAAAATCTCGTGTAAATTTATCTATGGGCCGTGGAATTAATTATCTATGCCACGGTTTGGGGGCTCGTGTAGAGCAGTGGTCAGAGGCGCTTTGCAATGCCCATGAAATCGATCCCTGCACCACGAGTTCACCAAGCCCTCCATTTCTTCACGTTTGCAAAATTGCTACCAGACTTGTCTGAGAGGATAGCAACACTGGCTCGATATATCGGTATGTCACTGCGAGTCATTTCTAAAGGCCAGATGTGCATTCGGTTACCCCCAACAACTCAAATGATTTATTCTTTCTTTGATGAGCTTACACGAGGATGATAATGATGTCTATTTTCGGCTAACGTTTCGACGTCTTCGTCTTCCTCAGAGCCGATGATCCGAGTCGATGGTCCTCGCTTGTTATTCGTCTCGACGTGGCAGCTTCGCCTTCGTGTCGAAGTCAGGTCTTCTTCAGTGAGCCATCTCCTCGAATGAGGCATCCTTACTCATCAAATGATTTACCTTCACCTATGCTTAATGAAGTCGAATGCATGGCGCACCTCTCGGGGATTGATCAACGCCGAGAGCTTTATCCTTTTATCCCTTACGTCGAATTACATTAAACACGCCGACATTGAAAATATTGTTGTGCTATATTCCAGCGAATACTAGTCTGAATGATGCAGGATGTATTTTGACCAAAGAAACGGATACTTTCGGTTGACAATCGACTGCAGGCGGTTCTGCATCCTGAAGGACTGCAGGGTGAGGGTCACATCATTTCAGCGCAGGAGAACCGTTCTTTATAAAAGTCCTGTGTGACATGCATTCATTCGTAAGGTATTTCACTTCATTGGATTTGACTCGATGCAACTAAACAAAAAGAAACGGCTTCTGTGGGTACTCGAATTATTCCTTGTGGCTGTGATGAAGACGAAGCCAGGGAAAGGTTAGCCACAGTTAAGAATCCTGTCACCCTCATGTTTATTGATAGACTGAGGCATTGATTACCTATTTTATATGCTCTGAGTTTAAACTATTGAAGTTTCACAGTGATTGGTGACAGATTAGAACAATAAGAAAGTTAGATCTTTGGAATATATTGAGTGATAATAAAGGAATTCTATAAAAAATCGTCTAGTAGTTTTGACGTAGAGGAATGAACGAAGACGTTCACAAGTGCTGCCTATTGATTCATTCAGGTAATGAGTAGGTTGTGCTGTTGGAGTCAAATACAAAAGATCTGCCAAGAGTTGCTAGCCATTTATCAACGCCTCTACATCTTTTTTTCATCAATGAACTCCAGTGATTATCACTGCGATATCAAAAGCAGACAGTTTTAGCCCGATAATACTTCAATCACACTAAAGAGTAACTCCCAAGTCCGACTTTCTATTAACCTCGGCATTGATTGAATAATTCTTTCTACTTCTGTTCAGTAAACACGAGGTGCCATTTTATTTCTTTATTTACGTACAAGCTGACGTTTCGGCGGATTTCGCCTTCCTCAGAGCCTGGAAAGGTCAAGTTGACAGCAATCTATTCGGCCAAACACCTCGATAACCAAACAGAGAAAACGCTAAACCAAGATTTCAATCACATTTAACACAGCCCTGCACACTCACCGCTTTCTATGAGTCTTCCACTGAGTGTGTCGTGTGAAGACCGACCGCACAGAATTCACATGGAAGCGTAATGTGCCTCTCCCATCAGAATAACAGGTTTATACGCTGTCCAATATCACGCGTGATAATGAGGCATTCCTCCATGCGGTTCATTTTCAGATTCTTGGAATTTATCCAGAATGCCTCTAGAGTTTTGCGGGCTTGTGTTCTCGATTCTTGCGCGAGGATCGTAACACTTACTTCAAAATCTTCTCCGTTATGTTTCTGCGTGCTATGTGTACCTAGTGAAGTACTTAGCTTACGTTTGCCGACTTGGTGTTCTTTTATACGTACGCAGAGTGGTCTACCCGTTTCGCCAACGTATTCGTCTCCGCACGCTTTACAAAAGATCAGATAGACTATACCCGAACTCATGCAGTCACCGTCTCTACCAATGGGGCAAATTATGCAAATTTGCGTTGCACATAGACTGTCGTATAGGCGGTTAAGAACTAGCCGGCGTCTTAGATTACTCGGTGGTATTTCTATATTTCGATTATCGTTACCGAATTCTCTAGACTGGCCCTTCTTAAACAGCGTTTTATAGCTGCACTTACTTCATTTGAAATGAAGGGCAGTATAAACAGGACCTTGTTGTCGCTAGAGTTATCGTTGGGGTACCTGTGGTTCCCTCTACACCTATCTCAAGCTACAGTTTTGTAGCCATTAAAAATGGCTATTTGCCGCGCCAGGTTCCGGGACTCCCCTCTCTACTCTTTTCTTGTGCACACGCTGGTAGCTGTTCGAAACATGTTTCTCACAAGCACCTTTTTCGTGTGAGAGGGGTGAGAGGAGAGGTAATGAGCCAAGATGCTTTAAGTACTTGGCTTTCGATACCATTTCGCAATGCAGCCGTTTTCTGATAGGCTAATTTGCACGTTCAGAAATGGAAGCCAGTTTTCTTTTGGTTTTTCTCGGGTGAATTTAATATACTCTGACTGTGTGTTCAACAACTCGAAACATCTGTCAATTTCTTCTCGTGTTGAACAAATGACCAAGCAGTCATCTATATATCTACAGTAGAGTAACGGACCGAGGTCGATTGCTGGCGCTTCCACCTTAGACATGAATGCAATGGCAAGGCTTGGTACCAGTCGTTGTCCCATTGCCAACCCTCTCATTTGTGCGTAATACCTCCCGGACCATCTGAAGATTGAGCAGTTTAGGCACTCCTTTAAGAGTGTCATCAACTGCTGAATCGAGAAGCCGTACATGTTTATTGCTCCTTCGTGTTGTATAAGGAGCTCGCTTATGGCTTGCATAGCGGAGTCATTCGACACATTCGTATAGAGGGCAGTGACGTCGAAGGACTCCACCACGTACGCTACGCACTGTGGGGTTGCGCGTTACGTTGGGTTACGATCCTCGCGCAAGAATTGAGAACACAGGTGCGCAAAACTCTAGGGGCATTCTGGATTAATTCCAAGAATCCGAAAATGAACCGCAGGGAGGAATGCCTCATTATCGCGAGTGATATTGGGCAGTATATAAGCCTGTTATTCTGATGGGAGGGGCACATTACGCTTCCATGTGAATTCTGTGCGGTCGGTCTTCACACGACATACTCAGTGGAAGACTCATAGAAAGCGGTGAGTGTGCAAACCTGTGTTCAATGTGATTGGAATCTTGATTTAGCGCTTTCTCTGTTTGGTTATGGAGGTGTTTGGCCGAATAGATTGCTGTCAACTTGACCTTTCCAGGCTCTGAGGAAGGCGAAATCCGCCGAAACGTCAGCTTGTACGTAAATAAAGAAATGAAATAGCACCTCGCGTTTGCTGAACAGAAGTAGAAGAATTACACTAAAGAGTGTTGCAATTACTTAGCTTTGTAATTAATAGATAATTAATCAATTATCCATGTAAATTAGTGCAATAATCAATCAATGTAACCATTAGTTAATATTGTATTGACCGGTAACATTATACAAAACTTTCCAGATACAACAATTCTTCCACGAAACGGATTCACGGTAGTTAGCTTCGAGGGGATAATGCTTCCGTTTACGCAGTTTATTGATAAGGCAGACTAACATTTTATGAAGCTGTTCACTGTGGAATTGTAATTTAGATGCTTGGAGTTGTGCCTAAAGCTTCAGGACATACCTTGCCGAATTAAGTGTTAGTTAAAATGCGAGCATTTAGGGATGGAAGGTGAGGCCCACTGGGATGCTGGCGAAGGTACAACGATGGTTACTTGATAACCCCATGCCGGTTCGTCAAGAATACAGGAAGCTCTTTTATTCAATGAAAATGATGATGAGCGAATGTTCGCTTGGTTGTTAAGTTCACGATCAGCAGTAAAATGTCACTCACCTCATCCATTTCGCATCCGGCGATCTTTTGCCGAATCGCATCCACTTGGCTGACGGTGTACGTTTAAGAGCGCGCTCCTGAAATTATTGATTAGTACCGATTACATTGGAATGGTAGGGTTTATACCCTGCCGGGCATCGACCACTATTACAGAGTTCTCAGAAGTTTTCCAACAACAATGTCACGAAATCGCGTCGAAATGGAAAATCGAGGAAAAAAAAGCAACGCATATCGCTTATTTAACAACCCTTTCCGTTTTTTCGACTCGTTACTTCCTTAAAATGGTTTTATGAGACATTTCTTGCACACTACTCGATTTCACACATTGTGGGGATCCCAGCACTTTAATTTGATTTGTTTCTTCACAACCATCGTCCACGGAGGTTTTCAAATTCTCGTGTGCATTTGGCTACCCATTGAACCTTTTCAAATCCAAAAATGATAAATCTTGTTTTGTGAAGGGGTTTCTGGGAAATGGGACTATATAACAGATAAGGCAACATGAGAGCGGAATGGTTGGTGAAGCAGTCCAGCAGCAAACAAGTCCATCTCCACTCCAAGATCTTTTTTCATTCCACGTGGAAACACTTCAGCTCGGCTATGTCCGAGATTGCAATAAGATTCAACTCGATCATCATTCTATGAGACTCATTAAGAAGGCGAATCCTTAAGTAGCAGCCGGAACAACACGCGAAATGTTCGAAAACCATGGTGGACGATGGATGTGAGGAAAATGAATCGAATGCGAGAAGTGCTGCGATCTTCACAGCAGATGCGATGACGAGTCATCCAATAATAATAACAGTAATAATAACAGTAATAATAATAGCAATAGTAATAACAATAATAACAGTATTAGTAACAACAGCAATAATAATATCGATAAAAATCCACCCAGTGAGTGAAAAATATCTCATGATGCCTAGTTGTTTACTCGATATCTACACGAAAAATGGGAGTAGTTTTTTTACATCTTTAAATAACCTTTTGAAGAAATTATTTCCATAAGGAGTGTAATCCAGAAGACGATATTCAAGTCGTCGATGGGTCTTCTTTTCATGACGCAATCAGTCTGTCACTGAACTGTTAGAATATTTACGTAGCAGGTTAAGGATTGCATGCATAACCAAATCCATTGTTTCTTAAATATACGTAAATCTGTTGAGGGTAACGCTTCGGTGGAGATCTATGTGAAGCGACAATGTCTATCGATGCCGTGAACCAATGACGCAACTTCGTCGGACAGCTTTGTGATCTCAGTCATCTCATTGTAGCGCGCATTCATTCCCACGATTGTACTGAGCTTTCTCTTCAAATTTCTGTCGTCAGCGAAAAATTGTATAGCAAAATTGCTAGGTCTGATGGTTAATGGAGATACCGTAGTGCAAAGCCTGCAATCACGTCTACAATAACCAGCTAGTAGAATTATCACCGTGGCTGTCCCTTGTGGACTAAAAATTTATAACTAGGCACTTCACTTAAGTTAGGCTGCATTGCTTAATAGGATCCCCTAAGGGTTTGGCTTTATATACCAATTCCTTTCATGACGAGGAAAGTCAAATGAATTCATACGGTGGTTTTAACCCACCCCGGTCTCACCAGGCTCTCATCACTTCGGAATCGCGAAATTAACATTAGGATGGTCTGGAATCAGAGGCCTGTCCTCGATTCACGTAGAAGCACTCTAGCACGATCTTCCCAGAATTGTAGTAAAATCGACTTTAAAACACATTCATAAAAAAGACGAAAAATTCTCAAGCGGCAGTGGGGCCTTTCTGCAAAAACTATGAAGACCTTCGTAGATGATGGATTTTAGGAAAAGAATAGAAAACAGGAGGTACTGGGATCGGCATAACGTATGATGCCGGGTTCTACAAATAAAAAGCGATGCCAGTGACGAAGATTAACGCAGTGCAATCCGATTTTATTGATGAGCTGATGTGAGGGTTCTGCATGACATTAATAACTTATACCCATGGTAAATTACTGTGATGAATGAAATTTTGGTTACCGGGGAAAATATGAGTGAAAAATGACTTCGTTAAGCCATAAAGAAGATTGAATTCTCTGATTCATGCTCAGCAATTAAGAGAAACCGTTGTGTTGCAAACAGGAGTCGTATTATTGAAAGAAATCCCACCGAGTTTTTAATGACAGAGTTTATAGGATAAAAGGATAAAGGATAAAGCTCTCGGCGTTGATCAATCCCTGAGGTATGCACCACAGTTTATAGGACACAATGTGAAATGTGATCCACATAGAATGAGTGTGTCAAGCATTATTCGATCCTCGAAATTAACTATTCACAGGTGTTGCTGTCTCGAAAGAATTCTAGTCACAAAGTAGTGAACTCCCCTCAATTACACAAGAACAACATTACTCCTGAAAACGTGAACACCCTGGAGCGGTTCCAATCATTCATTGCAGTGACTATTGTGCTGAAACTATTCTAGGCGTGCAGCGAAAAAATTCTCTCGAATGGTGGCAAGTGGCTACCAATGCTAAAGATCGAAAGGACTGTAGGCATGTTATTGAGCATGGAAAATGGAAGCTCTTCAAACCACATCTGAATCCACACACACTGAGCCCAACGAAATTTATGAAAGAAGTCTTCAGTTTTCCTATAAAATACGAGTAAAGCCCATCTAACTTTCTAAGTGATTAGTACACTTGTGCAAAAATTAAGTCCATCCACGTTCTACGACACTTTCGCGCTCGTATAATACAATTATTAGAGATGCCGCGAAATACATACATGCTGAATGCTCCGATCGCTTGTCTATACTAAGCAAGTCCACCATCTGCCTGAGGGTGGTAAATTGTAGACAGGCTTGTTTGGGAGTACAAGCAACACTGACTTAATATCTCCACATATTCATTCAGTTGCCTCTGTAGTTCTCAACGATATCGAATGCATAAAGCAACATTATGCGACTGTTCAACGCCACACCTTAAATCAACTCCTTTTCGAAGCCTATGGTCGCAAAAAGGACACGTACAGAATTAAACCAGCCAGAAGCGTTTCGTTATAGTAGCTTCAAACGAAAAAAGTTGAAACTCTCAGCGTTGATCAATCCCTGATCCCTGATCAGCCGTGGGTTCGACTTCACCAAGCATCTTTAAGGGTGATTGAATGCATATCTGACCTATAAAATGACTTGTGCTAGCTAGCAATCCATAAAGTCAGTGCCTTCATTCTTCTAAAGTAACTGGCAATGGATTTCCGACCCTACAGCGATAGAAGGCTTGGTGAGACTGGGAGACGAAGTCGAACCACCTTTAATCCAGTGTGTACTAGACTCCACCTCTAACCACCGCGCTGCACGTGTTGTTATATCACCTTTAACATGTCCAAGGGAAAAAAAATGCCATAAGGGCATTGCTTGGAATGTAGCCGAAATTTTTGGAGCTGCTCTAGCCAGCAAATATCTATGCACAAGAAGCCTATTTGTAGGAGTTAAGATCCATTGTTCTCGTTTTCTAATGCATGTGAAGAGATGACGGAGACCCACATCTACCTCGAAGACCAATCTAACAGAAATGAACCGTCAATATTGTATATTTTCAAAGCTCTAACATTCAACGAATGGGATTGTTGAAAGCACATCGAGTTAAATTCTCTACGAATGCTAATCGAACCAGAGCCATTGACTGAGCATAACATCACTCACTGAACAGTACGACTCAATCCACTAGCTCATATATCATTTTCAATCTTCTAATCCGAAACCATTTGGTTCCTTTTTGATGGAAACTGTGATTGAAATGCCCCGAAGCAGCAAATTTTTCAGGATTAGTATGTTTTTTGATGAATGCACCGCGAGCTAAGTAGCCCAATTTTCTTCGTGTCACTTCCGTAATTTGTCAGCAATTAGCCCTCGAAAGTTTTCTATTAAGATTTACGTAATTTAGCTTTAAATATGGATAGCTGACAGCCGAAATTCATTTGTTCGGTGTCCTTGCAATCAAAAGCAAGCAGTGCTATTTAAGTCGAATAGCTATGACATTTGTGAATGGTCTGACAATGGTATAAGATTTTTTAAAGTGTCCTACCAAATGTCCTACAAGATCTCCAGTTTCCCTTATTCGCATTTAGTGGGAAAATATCCAGTCCAATTTTATCCTTCTAGCATGTACTCGCTGCAATGTAGAAAGAAATCGGCGAGAACTTCTCGTTGCTTATGATCTATGAAAGTGGATGTTCCACTGGATAATGAGCTTCCCTACAATTTCATGTCATGTTATTCCAAAACTGAGTCACTTTCCCCTGCAAAGAATCATCTATGATCCAGCACAACATCATTTGACTGTTTTCTGATTAGGAGAAATTTTCTTTCGATGGAGTCTTCAGCCTTACGATTTCTAAAATAGTCATCAAAAGCACTAGTCAGCGCATGTGGAAGTCGAGGAATAAGGTTTGTTACCTTGATCTGAAATTGCTAGCAAAACAACAGCGTATAATTGCATTCGTTAAATCGTGGCAGACCTTACACAAGGAAACGTACGTCAAACTCAATCCATTTCAGCAAGGAAGATCTTACGAGGAAATGAACCTTCATTGCACATCGTTGTTCAGTACCCAGGAACACCGCCAGTTCATGACGGAAGGGCAAACATTTGGGTGATGGGAAAAGTTTTTATTTTCTTATTGTTATTTTATTTGATCCATCTTCACGTCTACTGTGCGGATCTCAGCACTTCTTACATTCGATTCGTTTCCTCGCATCCACTGTCCACGAAGATCTTCCAATTTTTACGTGCGCTTTCGGTTGCTGCTTGAAGAATTCCATTTCATCTTGAATCTTGTGGAATGCTGATCGAGCAATTTTCCCTGGAGTCTTGAGATAATCGGGCTAGAGCGTTTCCAATTAGATTTAAAAGAGTAGTTTTTCCCCAGACAAGTCCGGTACCAAATTCCCAAACCCCGGAGAGATGAGAGACTTGGTTGGTCCAGGGCGGAATCGAACTGGCATCATGCTCGTGATGACGGGCATCACTACCACCGTGCCATCCACCCCTAGTGTCGGAACATCTTATCTAA